GCTGTTGTTTGTATTCAGAGTAATAAAGTGGCATAGCTCAGGTTACAAATGCATTACCAGGTCAACTATGCTTTTGTAACGTCAGACATTATTTTTTTATTATCCAGACTCACCTCCATCATCAAATAACCACCAGACGTCCACGGTGCCTTTCCCCTGTTTCTGCTGGAACTGCTGGCTGGCCTCCAGCAGCCTCTGGTCAGTCACGTTCAGAGATACGGTCGGACTCTTCTTGTCTGTAAACGTGTACGTACACACACACACACACGCACGCACACAGCATGTAGAAACAGGGTTAGAGCCCACATCCCGGGTCAGATAGATTTGAATAACAGTTCTAATGTTGTGGTTTCTGTTACACATGCCTGCAACATAAGTAGAAACAACAGACTACCAAATCCTAACTAAACATCTTTGACCCCATTTCCTCACAAAAAACAAAACTGAACGCACGCAAAGCTTCATCATCCTGAAGCTTCTCACATCAGCAGCTGTAGGTGTAGCCGCGTCTCGTCTGTGTTCAGAGCTATTCCCAATGAACCACACGTTTGTCTCAACTTATTTTGTTAAAATAACAAATGTTTTCCTCTTTAATCTGTCAAAATGTGAAGTTATTGGAATTTGAAAAACCTGAAGTCATGGCTGCCTTGTGTTTTGGGTTAACATCTGTGTGGACGGAAACAGAGGTGATGTGTGTGTGATGTCACTGCCGTCTCCTTGTGGTGTCACGCACCCTCTGGGAGGCAAACAGACCCACCCACCGAGCAGCGGACCAAAGGAGCACAGAGAGCACGTGTAAAGCCACAAGGAGCCGTTCAGCTGGACAAACCTGTTCAGCTCAAATCTGGGGCTCCAGAAAGTCAACAAAGTCACCAAATCAATAAGATCCGTAGAGATGAGAATCCAGGACCAGCAATGTGGACCTGTGTCTGGTTGGTTTAAGACATTTTATGAATTTCTGGCAGTCTTAAGCTAAGCCAGCCTGTTCGGTGACTCCCACGTCTTTTTTTTCAGATTTGTGGATTTGAGGCAGGATGTTTGCCAGTCCACCAGGACAACATTAACACATGTCCTCCAAGAACGTCCAATCAGAGCTGCAGAAGAAGTCACATAAGTGTAGAACCGCTAGAACTCTGATACTTTAATGGAGTTCCAGTAAACTGAAAGTTTGTCATCTAGTACTTTTGTCAAAACTACTACCAGTGCTAGCTGATCCAGACCTGGTTTACCAGGAGCTCTTTCTGAAGAAGTACAACGATCTCATGTTGTCCCAAACAGTGGGCATAAAAAGGAACGACTTCCATCTGGAGTAGGAGGCGGGCTCGGGGAGACCTGGGTGTTGAGAGCACCATGTTCAACATCTCTGACTTTGTTTTACTGTTATTCTGATTTATTTGAGACAGAATCCTTCATTTAAGATTAGCAAGAATAATGTCAGGTTATGGCTCTTATTTCCCTAAAGTTTGTGTTTTATTTGTCATTAAAGGATCAGAACACCACCATGATAAGCTTGGGCATAACACCTACGGAGGAGGAGGCATAGTTTTGCTCAAAAACTTTACTTCCAGTTATTGAAGGAAATATTCACAGTGTCAGACAATTCTTGGGCCATTCCCATCTGTACCGGGTCGGCCCGGGCCGGGTAGCCCCAGTCGGCCCCAGCCTGCTCCGGTTGATTCCACACACCCTTGTCTTAAGCCCATGTGGGCTGATTCTACCCACCAATCAGAGGCTTGCTCTAATGGAAGGTGTGAATTTGCTGTCAGCAGTGGGTGTGTTGGCCCTGGTCGGCCTGAAGCAGACCCCCTCGAGAAGAGGGCTGAGAATGAGCCTTGGTTGGCCCAGAAGAATACCAGGCCACCCAGATATGTAAACAACCTACGCTACCCGGCCCGGGCCGACCCGGTACAGATGGGAATGGCCCATCTGTGGAGTAGTTGAGATACTTTTTAGAGCGGACAATTTGTTTCCGATTCACCATTGGCATGGTTAGCTCAACGTTAGCCTCCAGTCTTCTTTACCAGATATGAGAATAAAGCAAAAAGATGGTGTGGCTTCTTTGGGGTACAAAACATAACTTCTGGGTCGCTCCTCTTTACTGGTCACCACTGTCCACAACTCTGGATCAGTTTGTCATTACAAATATTGATGCAGTTGTGTTTAGATTTGGCAACCCCGCGGGCTCAGAGATGACTGGCTCTGGAACCAGGAAGTATGAAGGCAGGGCAGATTGTAAACAGCAACTACGCTCCTCTTTGTCTTTTTTAAAAGGAGACAAAATGACAACCTCCCAGCTGGCTGAGAAGGAAATCTGTTTCTGTGCAACCATCCTTCCAACAGGATTAAGACATTAGACTGTTTTGTGATTGTTTCACTGTAAACCACTTGTTGCACCTCTAAGCAGATGAAGCTCATTGTATCCTTGTGAATTTGGCAATTAACTAGAAATCCAGACCAACCGTAGCAGTAGCTCCAAGGGTCGGTCTAGCCACACTCCATTGTAGCCTCAGTAGGTCTACCACTGGCCCGAATAGTTTCGAGTTTGGCCAATCACGGCGTTTTACATTTGCTAGGCAGGCTTAACGCTAGAGCTGCGATGGAGAAAAACCACAAAGATGGCGCTGACTCAGGAACGGCGCTCGATTGCAATGGCTTTGGCATCAACTTTGGACCATCTAGACTTGGGCTTATCTTTGAGTCAGGAGCAGAAAGAGGTACTTAAGTCAGTTATTTAAGTCTTCTACAGTGTGCGGTGGACTGCACCCATAGCAATGAGTACCTCATGTTGTTCGTTGCTCTGACTGGTCCGAGCACTGACCAGTTCGTGCAGAGGCCATTCGAAAGATGACCGTAGATCCCGCCCATATGAGTGAGCTGTTTCAATGGTTTGTGGCCAGAATATATTTAGATATATGAGACGGCTTGCCAGGCTAGAATGTAGCTGCTTGCTTATTAACAAGAGGATAAGTTTCCTTTTTGAGGTGTGAACGCTGTTAATACCGAGGAGCAAACAAATACAGAAGCTGTGATCTGATTGAAATGTGGAAAAACAACAGCAGTTTTCATCCGGGAAAGGAAAACTACAGAAGACCATCACCTCTAGAGAAAGAAGAAGCAGTCAAAGACAAGCGGAAATACTCACAGATGCACAGAAACTACTGAAGACTTGGACTGAGTTATAGGAGACAGCCTCAGCTAGAAGCTACAGACTGTTCAAAGCAGAGCAAAGAGGAAGAAGGGAAGGCTAAATGTTATTCCCAAAGTCCAAGCAGCTAGCAGACCGGAAACACAGAGCAGATGAAGACGAGACACAAGACAGAGACAGCTGGGTGAAGTACAGCGCCATAGAGAAAATCAAAATATGCTGAGAGAAATGAAGGCAAGAGTGATAAAACATTTAAAAAAGCCGAGTTATCAGTAAAGAATTAAAACCCCTCAGGGAGAGAAACAGGAAGGTCTAAGACAACCAAATGAAATGGATCTCCTGCCTTTTTTCAACAGGGGCCGAGTTGTAGCTTTGCCATCATCATCGTCATCTAAGAAAAAAATAAGGAGAAAAAAAACATTGACGTGAAATGTTGATTCGATGGTTTCACTATGATCAAGTAGGGAGATGTTGGTTAAACACAAACAAATATCCAAAAAAGAACCGTGTACTGTGAACCAAACAGTGAGACGGGATAAACAGGAAACTCTGTTCATGACATCACACAAAAATCCACTTTTTCTCCCTGGTTTCTGGAAAACCTCTCATACCTGACCAGAACATTAAAACCTGAAGCATGGACTCGGAGCCAGGACTGTTGAGTTAAATCAAACCGGTTTCCGCTGGCCTTCAGGGAGCAGCCAGCTTGGACATGTGACGACATTAAATACACATGAACCAGCTCTGGCTCTCCAGACTCCTCTGCCTGAGAGCTCAGATTAAACTAAAGGTGTCAGAGGAAAGAGGAGGGACAGGAAGTCCACCAGCATTAGGTCCTGCTGGACGTGCAGGTTGGGTCTTTGGCTCCGAGATGATTACCCAGATCCATCTAATCACATCAGTTCAACCACATTACCCACAAATCAACTGGAGAGAGGCGGGGTGTGCCATGAACAGGGGATCACGGTCAAGACAGGGTCAAACACTAGGTCAACATGAGGTCAAGCGCAGGGTTCAAAGACCTTTGACCCACTGGCTTTGCCTAGAGGTTCTGTCCATGGAAGTAATGAACAGAATTAGGGACGAAGGTTCACCCTGGCGGCCCACCACTCACCACAAACCAGTCAGTAACCCGTCAACTGCTTCGGATGTTCAGCCAGACCGTTCTGTCCACCACCAGGTTTGGAACCACGCTGCATCTGCGCTAGAGGCCTGGAACACGTCCCAGTCAGAACAAAGGTCCTCTGCCTCCTTCAGAATGCTCGAAGAGTTTTGTCGGAGGTTGGAGTTAAAGATCTCCTGGACTGGGACTTTCCAGATGTTCCCAGCACACCTTCGCTATATTCCTGAGTGCATCATCTTTAGGGTTGGGCATCGTTTGATTTTGAACGATTGCGATTCCAATTCCTCGTTTCGATTCAGGTTCCTATCGATTCCCGATTCCGATTCTTTCAAGACATGACACGTTTTACATGAGCTAGCTAACCACAGGTCCTACTTGATGAAATAATCTCAACTTCAACATGAATTTTAATTCTATGAACAACAACATCACCATCATTTAGACAAAAACATGTTTTGGAGAAAAAAGAAAAAGACTTGCAGCACAACCAGTGTGTTTGTTTCTGACCACAACCAAAGTCTGGAAGAAGCCTCTGGGATGAGAGGCTAAATGTCTCCAACATATCCAGAAACATCCAGCTGTTTTCAGCTAAAACTCTTAGGATGATCATGTCCAGGATGACTGAGAACTACACCTCCATGCTGCAGCAGCTTCAGTCAGAACAGAAACTTAAACGTAGCTGCTGTCAGTAACAATCTAACAGATTTTAAACATTAAACCTCTCAACAGGAATAGTTCAGAAAAGAAACTAAAATGTTCACAACTTTGTGTGTGATTTATTATTATTATAATTATTTATTGTGGCGGTAGCTGGTCTTCTGACACACACACACACACACACACACACACACACACACAGAGTGTTGGTGAGCGGCTGCGTCTGACTGCTGATGCTCCATGTGTATGGCGTTTAAAGCGTGCCACAACCCGTGCACGCGCATTGGGTCCACAGCGCGCGTGTGAACGGGACTCGCGAGCGCAAATATACATGGCAGCGCGCGTGTGAACGGGACTCGCGCGCGTGTGAACGGGACTCGCGAGCGAAAATATACATGGCGAGAGGTCATTTGTGCACTGAGAGGGAGCAAACTGTGTCTGTGAGCGCACAAGGATGTGCACAAGTGACAAACGTGCGTGCGCGCGTTGTCAACGAGCACACGGCAGAGGAAAACGTGCGCGCGCGGCAGCCTCTGTGCGCGCTCGGCAGCCTCTGTGCGCGCTCGGCAGCCTCTCTGCGCGCTCGGTTTCTGACTCCTGCTCGCTCGGCTGTAAGGGCTTTTGGCACTCTGGAGGCGTGGCCTGTGGCAGAT